AGGAGGTGACATTTGTGGCATTGCTGGCATTCCAGCACTATCAGGAAACAGTTGGTCAGGCTGGAAGTTTTCCCACAGCGACTGAGAGATGTTGGGCGAGTTGCGTGTCACCAGATACAGATCTGGTGGCGTGGCGGGAACCGAGAAAGATGGGTTGAAGGGTGTTGCAGGCCTTGTATGAGGCCGTGATGAGGTCCCGCCCATGAATGTGTCAGGATTTTGCCTGTGGCCAGGTGAGGCCATCGGTGGCGCCATCGCCGCATTGTTGCTCTGTCCTTCATTCTTCGACATGAGACTGGGTGTTTGTGGCCGCGACCGCTCATACGATTCCTGAGGCGTTGGAGTGTTGACACTGAAATCGATTGCCATGTCATCGTACTTCCGTTTAGACATGTCGGAGTTTGTCCGTTGTGACTGCTGTTGCTGTTGCTGTTGCTGCTGTTGCTGGTGCTGGTGCTGGTGCTGTTGCTGCTGGTGCTGCTCTAGCTGGGCCAGCGTTGAGTGCGCTTTGCGATGTCTTTTCCCTGCTGCTTTCTGGAGACGCTCCTCGAGTACTTTGTTCCCAATAATTGACTCGAAAAGTGTGTAGACCATCTTCCCCACGAGCCAGACGCGTGATACTTCCTTGAGGGCCTGCATGCACGTGCGGAGTCTGTCTTGTGTCACCTGTTGGATGGACGGAACCGGCGAGCGCATCTGATAAACATGCATGATGAGCGCCGAGAAAAGGCTGTAGACCACAAATGCTGGACAGTAGCGCAACTCCTTATGAGCTGCCAGGTTCTCGGTAATGGAAGTAATCATCGCGGCTGCTTGGAAGGCAATGTTCCGGGACGGATATGGCGAGTCGTCGGGAAACCGAGTAGCCACGCCGTTGGGTGGCATGTGAGCTCTGTGAAGGAGGCATAGGGTTGTGTAGTAGTTCGAGTGCAAAAGAGCCGACCAAAAGTGATGTCGCGCAACCTCCCAGTACACAAGCTTCGGGCAGTTTTGAAGCCAATCTGCCAAGGCCATGTCGCTATGAGTGAGGTCGATGGCGTTGCGTTGCCGTCCCTTTGAAGCCACCGAGTACTGCTGAGAGAGAACCAGGCCCATAATCTCGCATAGCTTGACGTATTGCATGAAAAACTGCACGTGAATTGGATCCGGAGGGTATTCACTTGAGCGATCGGCTTCGTCCTCGATAAAGTCGTCCTCGGTCAACATCTCCACATCCGAATCGTCCAGATTGATATGGACAGGGCGCCCCAACGCCACGGCAACAGAGCGGTCACGAGTGAACAGTGTCCACCAAATGCGCTTCCACAGCCTCTTGTCTGAACGACTTAGCTGGGACTGCTCGACGCTGCGATGCATGCCGGATCCTTGAGCGACAATAGTGGCAACACGGCTCCAGTAAAAGACATTTTTGGTCACGTCTTCTGGCCCCTCCCAGTACCAACCCATCAGCAGCAATGACTGCACAATGGTAACCCTGTCATCTTCATAATTGGCATCATACAGGGCTTTCGACCTTTTGTAGAACGTAAGAGCAGCAGGCGTGGTCGAGCCGTTGGCGTCCATCAGCTGTGGATTCGTGCATACACGCGAGCCGGCCAGCAAGACCGCTTGCAGTAGCAGCAGGGAAGGCGGGTTCTTCGGGTCGCGGTACTGCCGCATGAAGCGGGTGCGGTTGATAACGGGGACAATGGGATGAACCCATTTGAAATACGAGTCGATGAGCTCATCGCATAGGGTTCGTGGCGGCAAGAGAAAGGCACCTCGCTGGTGCAGGATATCGATCTCGACATTGTCGAGTTCTGTCAGCCTGGCTCGGGAGCCTCGCACGTTCTCGGGCAAGGGATAATGGACAACATCAGATGAGCCTTGCCGATCGTGAACGAGGAGGGCGAGATTGGACGATTCGCCTAGGTAGGCGACGCGGCCCGCGTCGGTGATGGGGGCGCGGGTGAACTTGGGCTTCATAACCAGGTTCACGTAGGTGCCATTGTCAACCTCCTCTTTCCTGGCCTGCGACTCGGTGTATGATATGGGCGGAGTGCCATCGGTCGAATGGTAAACTGTCGGAGTACGCGGCGCGTAGGTCGTCGGGCCAGTGTTTGCAGTGGGCCTTGGTGAAGGCTCATCGGACAGGGTGGTGGGAGGAGGGACGGAAGGCGTCACTTCACCCTTCTCGCTGTCCGAGTCTCTGTTCCCGCCTGAACTATGCGGCTTCTTCCTTTTGGGGTTGGGGATGCGACACTCGATCTGGAAGGCCACGCAGTTGGTGCATGGCACACCGAGGCTCGCGGCATCGCATCGAACCTACGGTCAAAGATCAGTCAAGAATGCGAGAAGGCCACCAATGGGAAAATGCAATACCTTTCTCGCATGACAAGTCTGGGCGCGAAATCTGTCAGCACACGGATCGAAAAGCAAAAACGCAACCAGGAGCATTCAGAATCATGTGGTCAAGGCCAGGGCCATCGGCGGGGGTCGCGCTTTTGGGAGGACGTTGACGAGAGCGGGTGCGAATTTCCTGTGAGATAGATGCCTCGGCTCAAACACGCGCGCGCAACCAAGGGCGGGGAAAGGATGCGAAAGACTCCACGTACCTCGCATGCTCTTGAAGCACGTTGCCTTCACATAGAACAATCATGGTCAGCTAACGGTCGCCTTTACATTGCGGATTCGCCTCGTTCCGGACAAATGTGCGACCGTGACAGCATCTTCCACAGGCGGCGATGGGGAGGAGGGAGGGGTGTGGGATGCGAACCTCCTAAAGCTCACCTGCGCGGCGGCATTGATGGCCGCGGCACTGTTGGGCGGCTGGTTGGACGTCTCTGATTGCGAAGGCGAGTTGGAGCTCGGTGGCTCTGTTTGATTCTGATGCTGTTGCTGCTGTTGCGGGTGCGCCGCCGGGGCGTCCGACGAGGACATGTCGACGTCCATGGATTGTATTGTAGGTTGGTCACTGGGATCACGCCGTGTCGCTTCCAGTGTGGTTCTCTCTTAGCTGCTGCGCGTCTGACCTGTTTGCCCTCTTACTCTCACATGGGACGGATGGGTCGGGCGGCCTGCGGGGGGTCGATGCGCTCGCACTGGGCGACAATACAGTGGACGGTATGGGGCGTAGACCGCTTACAACCCAATCGTCAGTCGTGTCGGAACACCCTTGGGGTCAAGAATGTACAACGAAAATTCCCAGGTATCGGTTACCCTTTGAGATCAGAGATTTGTCTACCTATGTCGATGTGAAGGTCAAATACTCGTTGATCAGGCTTTCTCTGTATCTCCTCCCATGCCAAGTGTCTGTAGTAGACAGGGTGTATAGGTAAGTACCATGTACCTAGGTAGGGTAAGGTAAGGTAAGGTACCTCAGGCAAAGTAGGTACGGAGGTCAACAAGGTGGGCATACCGACTAGGTAGGCATCAAGGGAGGGGCCCTGGCCTGAGGCAGCGCCTGGGGGTGGGCGATCTGCACAGCCTGCTTAAGGGTGGCCTGGTGTCCTCCCACTCCTCCTGGGAAGAGGCTTGGCCTCTGTCCATTACCAGGTGGTGGGTGCATGGCCATGCCAAGCGGGGAGGTACTTATTATGTAGTTGCTTTGCCTGTAGACCCCAGGTACTTCATCCCACCCCTCTCTGCATGATGCCCAAGTTAGTAATAAGGGGGCGCCCAGTGGGTAGGTACCTAGGTAAGTAGGTGCGTTAGCTAAGGCAGGAGCCCGCCCCCTGGGGACCGTACTAGGCACACAACAGTGTCTAGCTTCAAGCGCCATAGTGTCCAAAACCGTTATGTTCTGTCCGAAGTACCTATAACTAACTACCTTACCTAACAACCTAAGGTAGGTACCTATAAACAGGTAGACATCAATCAGCACAAGTTCTCTTGATGTCCCATCATCTCGACTAGATACCAGCGCAAAGCTGTTGAATTCCTACGTTGCGATTGTCAATCTTCGGCTGAGCCTACAGACGGCTACACATGTAATTCAGATCCTGCGTCTGCCTTGCGTCCCTGTGGTTTCACAAGCTTCAAACTTGGATTCTGCATGTATGGCCAATTCAACACCCTGCCCCAGCCCCCTTTTCGCCCTCGTCGAGACTCTCGCGAGTGACTTGTGTAGTTTTACTGCTTTGTAGTCCGCAGTCGTGAAACCATGTATCCCGAAATCAATCATCAAGAATTCAAGATTGAGCCGTGATTCGGAGTTAAACATTTGGAAACAGCACGTGTGTATACATTCTGAGCCATACGTGTAATGTACACTCCATCACATGCACGCGAGTTCGAGCCTTCACTCCCCAAGCCTCAGTCATCTCGGTTCTCTGCGTGCTTAACCCGCATCCGTCCAAGCCTTTGCGTCGTAATACTGCTCTGTGTCTCAGTTTCCGGCTGGTTCATCAACCTATGGTTCAGCGAGTTTCGACATGCTGCTCATGTGGAAGCAAACCAAACGATACAGAACGTCAATGCATAAATACTTCCCAACAAACTGTGCCTTTCCAAGGCACCTCGCGAGGAGGTGCAAATGCCAGCCATGGCTCTGACCATACCAGGCAGCAGGATATCCGCCGCACAGGCACACGGTAATGTCTCTCAGGTAGGTGCCTGAAATAAGTCGGACCAAATGCAAACGAGCCGGCGCCTGTGTGCCTACAAGCCCTAATATTGAGGATCCTACTACGGCCACCCGCATCTATTACCCTTTCAGGATTGAGGAGCACCCTGGTCCTGTACATAAAACCTGTCACATGCCTACCGAATCTGTCCACAGCCAAGAACGGTGGGACTTTCCCAAGCCTCACCGTATCATCAGCCGACGTAATTGTGTGGGGGGAGGAATTTGGCATGTGCTCTGACATCAGATCCGTTCTCATCACTCCTCAATCATGCTGCTAAAATCCCCCGTACGTTCCTGTGCCTGGTATAGCTGACATTAGCTGGCATGGGCTGATGGATTGGGATTAGTTCTGTGTATCCTCCCGCCGGTCAATCAAACCCTAGTGGCTAGCTCATCATGTGCGTTTGTTGGTGATCTGTTCACCGTTGGCGCCCACCTCTTTCTTTCTTGTGAAAGCCTCGTCGGCTAGGTCGTGGCCATCCACCTCAATGCCCGCGATGAAACGTCCACTGACACCCTCCAGTAGCGCTACAAACACACACAACAGACTGGCGATGACGAAATGGCTGATTGTTGAGCCAATTTCTAGCCATGACCCCTCGTCTTTGACAACCCAGAAGAAGTAGAGGGTGAGAATGTCGCTGATTCCCATGACCAGCATGAACAATGCTGATGGCGCCACCCCCAACCTCACATTCAGAATGCCGAGGTTGGCGGATATGAGCGCGAAAGGAACCATTAATTTGACAATAAGCAGGATGCCCTGCCAAAGGGGGTCGAATACCGGCATCAACCGGTTCACACTTTCCAGGCTGAAAGACGACACGGAAGCTACGTTACCCGTGCTGAAGAATGCCGACTGTAACAGGACGAAGAAGAAGAGAGCCACGCGGGCATCTGGAAGCCTGAGTGGTCGATAATCCTCAACTTTCGACGGAGATGTGCTGCTCTCTCTGCCTTTCGTCATCTGCAGGCCCCTCTGCCGAAGACGCTCAGAAACATGTGCGTGATGCTCAAGGCTGACCCACGTGACGAGGAGGGTGCTGAAGGCTACATAAAACAATCCCTCGTACGAAATTGTCAAGATGACGAAGGTCGGCGCGCATGTCAGGAACATTACCATCAGTCGATGAATGTAGTTGTTGTTAGGCTGTAGTCTGTGAGCGAGCGGCATGAGCATCGACACCACTGGCGCTGAATTAGTAATGGTTCTAGGCGCTGGCCAGCTCGACATACCCATGACGATCCAACCTATGATCTGGTTGCCTAGCGGCAGGCCTTGCCGAGCCTGCAGTGAGAGAGAACTAGAGCGCGTAACAATTACTGCCAACAGAACAAGACCGACCTGGACCCCTGTCAATGCCCTGGCTATCGGTAGGTTCGTCGTTCTCCCTTGTGTTGTCTGGTTCTTTGTTGAGGGTGCGGCAAGAAGTCGATCTTCGAATCCGAGATATGCCAAGCCAATTGCTGCCATTGCAAGGCCTCCAAGTACACTGTGTCATCATCAATAACGAACGCTGGGAAATATATAGTCTTTCGCGATGTACTTACACAAAGGCTGTGTTCTCAACCTTGTTCGCAGGAAGCAGCGTAAAAATACTCATGACCAGGCATGACACAAACCAAAGTAGGGAAAGCAGGGTGTGCCGCTGTAGAAAGCCGATCCCGTATGTTGCAGGCCAAAGGCTGCCGAGCACGTATAGGGCGGTCAGAACCTCGCGGTGAATGTAGCCCAGGGCCTTGTGCTCTCGTTAACATCTTGGCTCTCGTTTGAATGGATGTACCACTCACCAGGGACACAATGACGCCAATGTAAACCACTGCATTGAGTAGAAACGACGCAATGCCGCCACCAGTGGCTATGTGCCCAAGCAGAACATGTCGGCCTCGGTCAAGGCTACGACGACGGGCATAAACTTCTTCCCAGAACACAACGGGAAAGAAGGTGTATGCGTAATAAGTGAAGGGAGAACTGGAGATGAAAAAAGATGCATAAAGCACGGCCAGCAAGGACGTGCTAGTGAGCGTTCCCAAGGCTGTTCTCGATGGAGGCTCCGAGCCATTCAACACGTGCAAATCGATCACGCCTGTGAGGGCGAATGCTATCCAGCCCAGGTACCCAAGTGTGATCAAGGTTCGTAGGAAGAGCCAGTCGTAGGTCTGGAGGTATCGCAGTCCATCCAAACCGACTTTGATCAAGGCTGCAGACTCTTCAATCGCTTCCTCGTCTCGACCTGCATCGATAAGGCTCTGGATTTCGACCACGCGCTGTTCAACGCCTTGGTTTGCGCCACTTAGTGGACCAAACGGCCGGTAGCGAAGTTCCTGCGTTCGTTTGCGCTCCTCCTTAACGCGGTACATCTCTAGAATCTCGCGCGCGTTGATGAGAGACGCTTGTGCCTTCTCCTTGATACCAGAGGAAAGGTAGGGCAAAGGAAGTTCGCCAACCGAGTTCACCGGGAATTCGGTGCCAATAAGGTGAGCCATCAACGCCGCGATATCGGCCTGCGACACATCATGACGCTGGACATGATCCATATTCCAGTCTGATGAGTACTCATCATGGCCAGGTGCTGTCGTTCCAGGGTGCAAGCGCGGTGTCGCAATACCCGAACCCCAGGTAATCAGTGGCGTCCGCGTATTGTCAGGGTGACCATCGCCATGGCTTCCCCAATCGCTCATGCCGTGATCGGCGGTAAAAACGAAGGCCGTTCTGTCATCGTCGTAGAAGGCTTCGATCAATTCAGTAATTTCCTTGACGCCGTTGTCGACAATCTTTATATTGTTCAAATACTCTTTCGAGTATGGGCGATATCCATGTCCCGAGGTGTCTATACCGAGAAGGTGTAGGAAAAATACGACTTTGTCCTGGCGTAAAGCCGCACTGAGTGTCTCGTTTGTTTGTGCCTCCTTGAAAAAGTCTTTGACATGATCGAACACCCAAAGATCCAGCTCTACGGCATCAGACGAAAAGTCTTCGAACTCATGACCGTACGTGAAGGAGTCAACACGTCCAGGTACGGCGCCTTGTTGAAACATGGGTAAGATGTCGGGGCTGCCCCAGCTCCAGGTATGCCGACTTCGGTTGAAGACGCTATCGAAATTGACGGGGTTCAACTTCCAGCCAGTTGCGACGGCCGACACATCCTCGTACAGTCCGGCGATGAGAGCAACATGGCCTGGTCGGGACTCGGTAGGTACCCGGGTATGCGAGACTCCAAAACTGCCATGTTCCAAGACGCGGGAGCGTAGAAAGGGGGCGAGGGGGCGAGGGGCGAGATCGTCGTCTGTCTTCGGATATGGATCTGGAAAGGACTGGAAGGCTTTATCGGCACGTAAGCCATCTCCTGCGGCGAAACAGTCAGCGAGACAGACCTCTGGGTCAAGCGAACCTAAACGAACCAACGAAGAGGACCAATCGGTCGGCGGGTGCCTTCACATCTGGCGTTTGGCGGACCCCAATGAGTCGCATACCAGAAACGACGGGACTGACAAAGTAGATGTCAAAGATGGAGTATATGTACACCAAGTGGAACACCACGGCGATGGCTAGAAAGCCAACGCGGGAGAAGACGGCCATGGCGAACAGGAAACGAGGCTTGTTAGTTGGATTGGTAGATGCAGAAGCTCGCACAGAAGGCAGCCATAACCAATGAATGACAAAAAACTAGTCGACCAAGCCAGAACCAGTGTAATAGGGGAGAAGGAGTGTATGACTGGATATATGCGCGACCGTCTGGGGAAGGAGCGAGAAATATAGCTAACAAATGTCGGAAACAAGAACAGCTTTCCCAGGTAGGTAAACTTGGTGCCTGCCTCGATGGCGCGCTAGGACACCTTACTGGCAAGCTCAGGACGTGACACGGCGCGCTGCACCCATTACATTAGTGGGGCCCTCCTCAGTGCCCGCCACACCCGATGACCTACTTCCATTAAGTTGGCAAGATGGGTACCACGTCGATTTTTAGACAAACAGAAACAACGTTGTCTGTCGCGAGTAAACGCCGCAGCCGAACGGTTAGCATCGCTACCGCTTTTCTCCTGTTGCTGAATGTCTTGAGCTGGGCCAAGAAGGACATGGGGTCGATTTGCTTGTCCATCAGGGTGTTGCATGTTGTCGACGGTTGCACCCGGAGGGCCTGTCATCGATGACACTCCCAGACTCGTGGTTGCGTAAGGTATGGCCTTTGGCCAAGGCCATATTCATTCATATAAAAGGCACCACACGCAACGTGGTAGACTAAGGTACAGAAAGATAATTCTTAAGGGGTATCAACCAGACTCCGATGTCAACCAACTTCTTCCAGTCACCCTATTCCTCCCTCACTATTCTATCGATTTTGACTGCCAGCACCCTACTCGGGAGGTTCCATTAATGATTTAGAGACTCGAGAGTAGAACTTTGCTGCTTGAGGGCGGGGAAAGGTAATCTCATCCGTCAGGAACTCGGGAAGGAGATCGATAAGCTCTCGATCGCGGCTCTCGTCAAGTTGAGGCATGTACGTGAATTGTGCTTCCTCATAGCTTTCGCTGGCGACCTCGTTTTGGACACATAACTTGAAATGAAGAGCTGCATCGGTTACAGTATGTCAGCTGATGATCCCACAAGCCTTGCTAGGGTATTGCTTACTGCCGTTCCTTCCAGTCTGAAGACAGTCAAAGACATCCTCGATCGGCTCGCGTCGGACGTTCCTCACAATGAGGCCCGTCAAGTCAGCATAAAGGTCGTCTTTCATTTGTGCTGCTTGAACAAGATCTGGACCAACGACAAGCGCAGCTGAAGAGTGGTTGCCCTTTGTGCCACCGCCCGGAACTCTGGCAGTCGATGCATCAACCGCCCTGCTTGCGGATAATTTTGCAGACAGATTCTTGATTTCTTTCCGAGCTTCGGCCAGCGAGGCGCTCAACTCTACTACTCTTTCCTCTGACTGGTCCAGGCGGGTCTTATGAATCCGACCCTCTCTCGCAAGCCCTCGTTGTATTTCAAGGTCCGCTTGCAAACTGGATATGAGAGCACTAGCGACTTGGTCAAGGTTAGCAATTATTTTGCGCCCATTAGGGGACCATGCTCACCTCTTGCGCGCTCCTCGCTCTGCTTTTGTAGACGATCGAAATTGCGCTCCGCTTCCTTGACGGCAAGCTCCCGAAGATCGCGGTACTTGGTCTCCAAACTGTCACATTTGTTGTTGAGATCGCCTATGCAGCGTCGCAGTTGTGCGGAGCTTGCCTCGCGACTGGGAGAAGAGGGATACTGCTTGCGAGGGCTCAAAGAGAGGGCCCTCAAGGAATATCGCGCCGGGGACAGTGGAGGTTGTTCGGGAGACTGGTCCATCAATGGGCTCTCGATCTTCTCCTCCGCTTTGTTTCCAACATCATCAACAGCCATGGTGGCCATATGTTGCGTCTCAGGTATCTCTGCCAGCTGAGGAAGCGGCGCATCCATAACGGCCATGGGGCCTCGCGCAAGCGCCAACGGATCTTTTGCCAGGCTTGAATCCATTTTCAAGGTGGAGGCATTCTTTACCTTTGGGGGACGACCTCTTGGCCGACCAAGCATAGGCTTGTTCTCCGTAATCGTGGTGTCGCACACTGAAGCGTGGACGGATATGTCTCCTTGTGCGGATTTGCCTCTCGTAGTCCTCTGGGCGATATGGTTTGTGCTTTTCTCTAACAAGGCTTCTCGCGCAGCAGTTTCCGCGATTGCGGTTGCCCTCTTACTCGTACGACCAGATGGAGCTTGCGCCGGCTTCGTCACCTTGTTCGCTGCAGGTCTCCCGCGCATCTTCTTGGGCGTAGGCATTTTTGGTTGAGTGGCAGCGGGAACCAAGTCGAAGCTCATGAGAGAATCCGATATTTCATCAGTATCAGAATCTCGCAGAAGACCCAGTATGTTGGACTGGCGTTTCATTTGCGACATCACCCGAGTTGAGAAGGAGGGGTTGCGACGTGATGCTATGTTTGTTAGAATCAGGAATCGAGCTCGCGGAGTGAGTTGAGCCCGTACCTAGCGCATTCATGAACTAGCGCATTTGAAAAAAGACAAATTTGATGGGAACCGAATTGCTATCGTGAGAAGAGGAGCGAAGGAATAATATTGAAGAGCGCAAGCAGTCATTTGTTGTGATAACGCATGATGACGGGAGTTGCCTTTTCGGGAATCATGTCAACACGCCAGGCGTTAAGGCCCCGCTTGGTGCATCAGCTGCTTAGGTACAATGAGAAATGGCATAGACCTTGACGTGCTTTGATACCGCCATGTGACAGCCCCACCAAATTCGAGAGCCTGCATCGCGGATGTGATTCCGCCCCATTGTTAATTCTCGTGACGAAAGCATCTTGAACTGATTCAACTCGCCAGTCACATACATGTACTAACAGTGTAACACGCGGCTTCCTCGTTGCATCGAGCTGAGTAAAGTTGAGCGTTATCCAGCTCCTCCCCACCACTGCTTGTTCTCTTGCATTCGAATGCCTCATTTTGTCAGACGTTGAGGCTGCGCCAGAAGTGTCAACATCGGCCAACTACACTAAAGACCTTCTATCGAACACGTAGAAATGGCTGATCGAAGAAAGGGTCTTGGCGACTTCGCCATGGACATTCTTCTCGTCTTTGGCACCGTGAGTTAGAGAGGCTGATTGTCGTCGCGAATGTTTCTGCTGACACGTCGAAGATGGCTGGTGCCATTTACCTAGGTCGGAGCTTCCTATCATCACTTGAAACCACTATGGCCGATCCTGAGAAAGAAAAACATGAAAGAGCAAGAATAAGAGCGCAAGAGCATCTTGAGAGGTTAAGGAAAGGAAAGCGCAATGGAGGCGACGATGTCGAAGAGAATCCCGGCGATAATGAAACACAGCGACGAGGGCCTAGGCCTGAAGATCTTGTGCTCAACGAGTACGAGAATATGGTTGCATTGGAGATGGTAGCTCCTGAAGACATACCCGTCGGCTTCAATGGTGAGGACCTAGATACGCATCACACATCGCAAGACGAGGACGTCTGGGCTAACGGTACCTAGACATTGGAGGCCTAGAAGACATCATTGAGGAGGTCAAAGAGTCGGTCATCTATCCTCTGACCATGCCTCACTTGTACGCTCACGCCGCTCCTCTCCTTTCGGCGCCATCTGGTGTGTTATTCTACGGAAGCCCGGGATGCGGCAAGACTATGCTGGCCAAGGCCGTCGCCCGTGAGAGTGGCGCTTCTTTCATCAATCTGCACATATCAACCATGACAGAGAAGTGGTACGGAGATTCGAACAAGATTGTGCGAGCAGTGTTCTCCCTGGCACGCAAGATGCAGCCGGCTATTATCTTTATTGATGAAATCGATGCTGTTCTTGGCACCCGACGAAGTGGAGAGCACGAGGCGAGCGGCATGGTCAAAGCTGAGTAAGGCCTCCACAACTCTTGCGTGAATGATGCAGTTGCTTATCGTTGTTGGCAGGTTCATGACACTCTGGGACGGCCTCACGTCTGCCAATGCGTCCGGCACGCCGGCGCAGATTGTAGTGCTGGGCGCGACCAATCGTATGCAGGACATAGATGAAGCCATTCTGCGGAGGATGCCGAAAAAGTTCTCCGTGCCGTTGCCCGGCAAAGAACAACGGCAAAGGATCCTCCAGCTCATTCTGCGGGACACCAAGAGGGACGCGGAGCATTTCGATATTGATTACCTCGCCAATGTCACGGCCGGTATGTCTGGGAGCGACATTAAAGAGGCCTGCCGGGACGCTGCCATGGCACCAGTTCGGGAGTATATGCGAGAGCACCGTGCCAGTGGTCGGGCAGCGTCCAGTGTCAACCCTGCGCATTTCCGAGGCGTACGCACGGAAGACTTCTTTGGACGGCTCGGCGGGGGTCAAATCCTCATGGAAAATCACTCTAGGGAATCGGCAAAGACGCATACCTGGCGGCCATCGCCGCAAGAGTACGAGGACATGGTGGAAGATGTGGACGGTTCAGAGGAGGAAACACAGAAGCATCGTTGAGAGGAGTGTCTAGGTAAGATGTGACTGCGCTACTTGTGGTCACAGGGGGCGGTGTAACAAGAATACAAGCAAGGAC